CCTGTGTCTAGGACAACGCAGATGGGGGTAAAGGTGCTTTGGGGACAGAGGCACTGACCTAGATCATGCCAAATCTATTGTCGAGCATGGGCAGAGGGGGCAGTGCAGACTGAATGGGGACGCAGGTTCCCAGAGGCACTGTGGAGTCCACATGGAGAGCCTAGGAAGTGGACTCTCTGTGCCCCTTAGGTTGGGTGTGGTCTCTGTGTTCTGGGGTGTCGAACGCTTTAGGCCTTTATCAGACAGCTTGAGGAAACCTTATCCAGCACCCCTCACCCATCTCTTGGTCTCTCTGCAGCTTGCCTCAGCTAAGCTACCCTCATTGTGGTCCTGGAAAAGGGTGCTGGGTTGTCAAATGGAGAGCAAAGGCCATCCCCTCAGCCCGATCATCTCTGACCACAGTGGCCTCAAGGGCCTCCCTACTGTCCCCTCGTTAAGTAAGAGCAAGAGCTACCCCCCTGCTGCCTCACGGTGGTCGACCAGTTCTCTCATTCTCACCCTGCATCCTCTTCACTCCTCTCTTCCTGCCCACTTCCTGCTTGCAGCCCTCTGTCTTTAAACAGGTCTCTCTCTTTTTGTTTAAATTATCAGAGCACACATGTGCCCATGAGAGACAGAGAGGGGGAGAGAGCACCCCCAATGGTACATGGTCACTCCCTTCTCCATTTCCCCATCCTGTTGAGATTTGGGGCGTGCACACACACGTGCCCTGTATGTTTTTCAAGCCACTGGGGCCAAGTGTGTATATGATATGAGTGTGTATGTGTGGGGGGAAACGAGCACCCCCACAGGGTCTGGTCATGCTGGGTCCCTTCCTCCAGCCCTCCCTCTGCATGCGCCTGGAGTGTTGAGGCTGACCCAGCTGTGGGATCCAGCCTCTCTTCAAGCATAATCGCTGCCTCATGGAGCCAGCCCTGCGAAGGTCCCCTTTCACTCACCTTTGTCCCCTTTCTCTAGGCTTTGTTGCAGTAAGTGGTGTCTCCTCCCAGCCCCTCACTCCCTCCGGTACCCCCACTGTCCTGTAGTAGGTTCGGTACATTCCCTTTGCTTTGCCAGCCCACCCCAGACTTCCAAACTCAGCCTCTCCAAGTCGGGTCCCCTCTTACTCTGACTTCAAAAGCCTTCCCAACCTGCCCCCTCTGACCTTCCCTTACTGTCACCAGGTGTCTCAGACAGAGGCTTAGCAGCTCCAGCCTGGCTCTTCTGTCTCTCCCGACTCCTGCTGTTTACTTCCATCCTCCCGCCCCCGCATGCATCTCAGTCCAAGTATGGGTCACAGGGGTGGGAAAGAAGGGCCAGTGTGAGGACCTGTAAACCAGACCTTCTGTAGGACTTGGTGCCTGGTGAGGCTGAGAGGGCTGACGGCTAGGAGCTGGGGCCCACCTGGACAAGCACAGCAGCCTCCAGGCCTCTCAGAGCCCGGGGTGGCTCCATCTTTCTAGTGCTGTCTGAGGTCCTCCACTCAAACCCCGAAAGGCTCCCTGGTGCCAAAGGCACAAGTCCATCTCAGCTTGAAGTTAAAGGGTTGTGTATTCTAGCCCGAACGTACCTTCTCGGCCAGAGTACCCGTCACGTCCCCAAGGCCTGCCTTTCATCCTCTCTGCTTTCCCATTTGCTCCGAAGGCCCCACCCCAGCCTCTCACATCGGCTTGATCTCTCTGCCCTCTGAGCTGTAAGCAGCCCTTCCAGATCCCAGACCTAGAGCTCCAGGCAGGTGTCATCACATCGTTCATTGTCATGAAGACTTGGTCCCCATCTCTGTCCTGTGCAAGCTGCCCCCAGCAGGGTGGGCCTGGCCATTCCACCGCTCTTTGTTCAGTCCGGGCGGGTGGGGTGCGGGAAGAGCTGCGGGAAGGGTCAATGACATGGCTCTCACCTGTCTGAGCACTCCCTGCAGCTCCTTGCTGGACCACATGTCAGACAGGAGGAGTCGGGCAGCTTCTGCAGCCTTGGGCGAGGCGCTGGGATGGAGGGAAGTGCACTTGTGAGGAGAGATTTGGGGGAACACCTCCCTCCCACCCTCATCTTCAGGTCTGGGAGACATGGGGAGATCCCAGGGGTGCATGATATAAGTGCCCCACTGGGGTATGTGGGGCCCTGACCCCTGTCAAAGTGGGCAGGACCCCTTGCTGTCGCCCACCTAGAGGCACCCCAGGATCCTCCCATGCCCAGCCCTTGGCCTGGGCTGAGAGATCCCCATGGGGCAGTAAGTAGTCCCGCCCCATCCTGACCCCCGAGGACCCTGTGCCCTGTGCCCTGCAGGTTCCCCAGCAGCTCTGTGTGGCCCAAGGCAGGGAACACCAGACCCTGAGATTCAGGGTTCTTGGCTTCTGGAGCTTCTCTTCCATCCAGCCCCCACCCCTGCCCCGACCCTGCACCAGTTGCTCTCCCGCTCTCCCTCCCTGCGGCTGGGCATTGCAGGCTGCCCAGTGTGCAGGGCGGAAGCATGCGCCGTGCTGCCCACCTGCTGCGACACAGGTTGACGATGTTGTTGAGCATGCTGCTGGAGAAGTACTGCTTGGCCATCTGCGGCTGTGAGGCCATCAGGTTCCTCACGGTGTAGCAGGCCGAGGACAGGATGTCTTCGGAGTTGCTGGTGTTGCCGGTGTGGCTGGTGAGGAGTCTGGTCACCTCCGGGAACACTTGGTTTCCTGGGAGAGAGTGGTGGGGTCTGGGTCCGAGTGGCTGAGGGTAGGAGGGGCTGTGGGGATCCTGGGGCCCCCAGTCCCAGATTGCCCTCAGCCAGGCTCTCAGCAAGGCAGCCCCTCAGGTTCCATACTGGCTTGAACCCGGGCCTCAGAGACCTTGATGGGACCTCCAGGGATCAGCTCCCATCCCTCCCTGGCCCCTGCTTGTCTCCACATGCATCTCTGGCCTCTGCCCCTCCTGGAATGCTCAGCCCAGGGTGAGAGGGTGACCTGGCAGGCTCTGGAACGTGGGGCTCTGTGTGTCCCATCCAGAGGGGAGGAGGGACTGGCGGCCTTACCCATCACTCTGTGCAGCAGAGGGTGACGGGACATGTTGCTCAGGAGGGAGGCCCCGGACCGCACCACGTCGGAGTTGCCAGATTGTAGGAGGTGGGCGATTTGTGGCAAGCCCTTTTCCTTCAGCCCGATCAACTGGCTCATGCCACTGGACATCTGAGAGGGAGGGACTGGTGAGGAGCTGGCCCGCGGCTTCCCAGCACGGGGCAGAAGGCAGGGGCAGGTAATGCCAGACGAAGCCCTTCCGGGCCCATTCTCTTTCATGTCAGAGGCCCAGGCTAACCTGTACCACCCCTTCCCAACCCTGCTCCCAGCTCCTGGACCAGCCTGCAGCCAGGCACATGGTGAGAGGCCTCACTCATCTCGCTCACAGGGTCAACTTTTTGTTGCTGTCATTGTTTTTAAGCACCTCCCCTAAGCCCCCCACGGGCGTGTGTCCTTGCCTGGGAGATACAGAGAGATGGAGAGAGGGAAAATGAGAAACCACCCTCGGGGTGGGGGATGGTCATGCCACAAGCCCTTCTCCTCTACGCTCCTTCTGCGGTTGTGGGTACACATGATTGTCAAGCCATCAGGTCCAGGATTCGAACTGCTGTCAACCATGTGGGACTCCAGCGCCTTGACCTCTCTCTCACTTGTGACAATCAGGGTCAACCTGAGACTGCCGAAGTGTCAATGTCACTGCTCCCGCCACTGCCACAGCTCTGCCTTTCTTATGTCTCCCAGTATCATCCACACATATGGCCAAGATGGTCTGTAAGTTAGGGTCATCTCGTTGGGTCACCCCATAGTCTAGTGGGTAAGGGAACCAGAGCCAGATGGTGCCATGGTTTGAGTCCTGGCCCCAGAGGCTTGAAAAACATACAGGGCACGTGTGTGTGCATGCCCCAAATCTCAACAGGATGGGGAAATGGAGAAGGGAATGCCGCATAACCATGTACCATTGGGGGTGCTCTCTCCCCCTCTCTGTCTCTCTTGGGCACATATGTGCTCTGATAATTTAAACAAACAAACAAACAAACAAACAAAGCATTCGGCCACCTTCCAACTTCACTACCTCTGTAGACTTCAACACGTATTTGTTGAGGGCTACCCGAGACTAAGAGAAGAGAAGGTCTGGGCCCACCTGGAGATAGCTGGAGGTGGGCCAGCTCCTCTGGGCCTCTAAGCAGCACAGTCATCCGTGTGCAACCTGATCCAGGCCAGTTGGGAGTTCTCAGAGACCCCGGCCTCATCCCTCACAGTAGGAAGTCCGTCTTTACCCTGTTTCCCCTTGTCTTGTAGCTGTCAAGCTGTCCCTTCTGTTCCATGTAAAGCTGAAATAGTTGGACGCTCTCCCATCTAAACTCTTCTTGATGACAAGCCAGCCTCCTCTGGCCCCGCCCACACCATTGAGCCCTCCAAAGTGCACTGGCCTCAAAATCTATACTTATTCTGTCCTGTCTTCCTCTGGGCCCATTCATGCCCCAAACCCTCTTTTTCTACCTTGGTCAGTTCAATAAATAGGAGACACCTCCTGCCACAAACACTCCATCCCTGACACTCCATGCAGAGCCAGGAGCCAGAGGCCAAGGGGATTTTGGGCATGACAGAACCCAATGGGAGGATCTGTCCACTATGCACCCTCCAGAGGCCTAGTGAGCAAGGACATCATTTCCCAGGGGCCAACCCAGAGCCCAGCACACACCAGGCCTCTCTCTGCTCATGTTAGCAGAGAGGCCTGGAAGCCCACGCATATCCGATGGACCCAGACAGGAGACAGGCTGGTGGGGGAGTAGGAACAGAGCCTGTGCTGCCGCCTGCAGGGTGGGGATGGAGGCACGACCGCTCCTCACCAGGCCTTTGCTGGCTGTCAGGTTCTGCAGGGCGCCGGCGCAGGCCTCCAGGGTGGCATCCTTCTTGCTTTTGCCCATGAGGTTCAGGTAGGTGCGGATGGCGTCCGAGTGGTACAGCCAGCTGCTGCCCTTGGGGTTGGTCTCCTCCTCAGGAAGGGGGCAGTCATAGTTGTTGTTCTGAGGACAAAGAGCAGGTCAGTGGGGAGCCTGGTCAGGGGTACCCGAACCGCCTGCCTCACTCCTAACCTCAGGGTCATGACTCCAGTGGGCAGGACCAAGGAGCACCTGCTGAGACCGGGAGCTGGGGAAAGCCCCCCGTGTCCCTTTCCTTTCTGCCTGTGGCAGGTCTGGGAAACAAGGAAAGGGCCACGGGCCTCACTACCGCCAAGGTGCTGTGTCTCAGGACGTGTGTTCCTGGCAGCCCTGGCCCAAACCTCCAGGTGGGGGAGGCTGCTCTGGGTCTCACATTAGGCTGCTTCCTCCCCTCCCAAACCAGACCATGGGTCTGGGCTTTTCTGGGCCAACCTCTCCTGTGCCCAGTGAAGGAGGTCTGACTGTCCCTCCACAGCACCGTCTACTCCTGGGAAGAGCTGGGAGGGCTCAGGAGGCAGTGGGAGCCAGGCCAGAGAGGGGTCAGGGTTCTGGCTCTCTCCTCCCCCTCAGGGCTATGGGAGAAGATGGGACATTTCACCCATTCCATAGTAAGAGACTGAGGCCCGCAGACCAGGGAGGAGCTCTGGCCTCTGGGTGGTCGGGGCTCATTTGTTCCCAAGGACACGGACCTCCTCTGCATGAAAGACAGTGTGTCCTCTGCCAGCTCCAGGGTACGGCAGGGGCCCGAGGACACAGTTTGGCCAGGGCCCATCCCCTAAGGCTGGTTTTGGGCTCTAGGGGCTGAGAAGAAGGGGTGGGAGAGGCAGTGGGCATGGTGGGGTGCTGGAGTCCCTGCTCTGCTGGGTCGGCGCTCACCATCATCTTGTCACTCTTGTTGCTGAAGCAGCCCGTGGAGGACTTCTCGGTGTAGGCGTTGCGGGCATTGTACTCCAGCTGGCGGTAGCGGGTAGGCACCTCGGCATCCAGGCGGTAGGAGAGGTTGTGCAGAATACACATGCAGTTCTCCACGGACTGGGGAGCGAACAGAGGCCTGGGGCCTGAGCCTCAGCCCAGCCCCGGCACCTCCAGGGCTCAGTGCTTTCCCCAATTAGTGAGCCAGAGCTGCAGGCCCCACCGCTGCTTCAGGAGGAGAGAACCCGCCACTCCCCCAGCCTGAGAAGATCTCTCAGGGACCCCTCCAGGATCCAGACTGGGATCACCATCTATCGTTTCTTAGCTGCATGAACCTCAGTGACTTGCCTCAGCCTTCGGGGCCTCAATTTCCTCAGCTGTAAAATAGGACTAAAATCCCTTGCTTCAAGGGCTACTGGGAAGATTATACGAGGGAAGTACCCGCCATGGGCCTTGCACATAGTAGGACACAGGGCCAGTGGCTCCTGTTCCTACTGCTATGGGCGACATGCCAATGGGTAGACTGGCGAATTGAGGACCATGTCCCCCCACACCTGCAGAAGACGTCCATGCACTGAGACCCGGGGATCTTCCAGTGCCCACTGTCCAGGCCATTGTAGGACTAAGTCCACCTACACAGGGGGACTCAGGAAACAGGGCTTCCTATGGCAGCTGGGCCCAGACCCATTTCCCTCCTGTGAGCCCCTAGGCTAGGGTGGAGCAGCAGATTCACCCTCTTGCTGGGGCTTGAGGGACTGAGTCCAGGGCTCAGGCTCATGCAGGTGTGGGGATGTCCCAGCAGAGCAGATACGCTCCTGGTCCATGGCCCTCCTCCGGGGCTCTGTCCACTTTCCGCAGAGGGGATGGGCGTGAGGGCAGGGTAAAACGCTTGCTCATGGAGACTGAGCTCAGGACGCAGGCGCCGTGATGCCCAGCTGTCCCTGGCCTGGGCGCTACTGGACCTCATGATCTCCCTCTTGTCCCCGTGGGGAAGTACCTTGCTGTCAGTTACTTCCCACATGTTCCCTGTCTGTGCTGATGTCTAAAGGTCCAGAGGGGCAAGGAGTGGCTCTGCCAATGGCTTTTTTTTGGAGAGATTTTTGCTATAGGGCGTGTGCGCTTGCCAGACAGACAGAGACATAGAGACGGAAAGCGAGAAATCACCCCCCAGGGGGGATGGTCA